CTCCAGTGAGAGTTATTCTACTCTAAACCCAACTGCACATGCACTTGCCTTCTTATAGCACACTCTCCAGTGAGAGTTATTCTACTCTAAACCCAACTGCACATTTCAACACACATTGAAACAGAACAGCTTCTTCATTTTTCTATGTCTTTTAAAGAAAAGAGACAAAACAATTTATGCATGTTGGAATTTAGAAACCTATAGTCCATCTCTCCATTTTGACTGTGGTTATGTAACTTTTGCCTTAAACACACACATCACTTATTTTCGTCTCTGGAAATATATTATCTTAGTTTTTAAATTTTCTTATTATGTGCTTTGCATGATATGAATATATTTTAATAACAAAAATAATTTTTTATGTTTAAAAACTCATGTTGGCAATTTACTATGCAGAGAGGAAAAAGAAGTTAAAAAAAAGTAAATAAACCAAGAGCGTTCACTGTGGTATAGTCTAACTCGCCTTGCTCTCCAAATTATCTTGGTTGAATTCCAACCCTTTCCTAATACTGTCACTCAAAATTGGATCCACTTGTCTTTCTCATTAATCACTGAATCTTTCCTGCCACTATGAAATCTGCTAACCTCAACCAAAGTAAGTACGACCTGCATCTAAATCCAGTTAAAACACTCAGCCTTCTCTCACAAATGCTATGCATTTTAATTTATTAAGATGATACGGTATGTTTATCATATCTCCAAAATTATAAAAATCAATAGAAAATTAGCTAATGTCTTAGAAACAATTTCTTTCTTAAGTAACATAGAATTTATTACACATTTCACAGAACGTAGGCCTGGGTGTAGAATCTACTGGCAATAGAGGCTGCAACTGTTGGTCTCGGAAGCAGGCAAGGACCAAAGCAGGTTTTCTCTCTCTTCTTCCTTGTATACCTTTGCTTTAGAGTCACACAGGGTAAGCAGGGAAGTCGGCGTTGAGGGGGAGGTTGAATGGGTGAAATGATAGGCTCAACTTCCCAGTGCAGCTCAAAGGCTCAATTTTACGTTTTACATACTCTATTGAAGTTCTACATAAAATATTCTTTGAAAAAAAATCACGATTCTTAAAAAAATTTTTAAAAAGATTTGGAAACCACATCTCATGATTCCACTCCAAATGCTACAATGAATTTACACCAATTTATCAACTCACACTAGGCTGAGATCAAAAGATGGCTGCATTTGGATAATTCAGTACGCAAAAAATGAGTAACAATGTCAGGTTTGCATGCTAGTCCCTCTAATCTCAACTGCATTATACACTCCACAAGCTAATACACTCTAATAACTATTAACCGATATTAATGAGAGGTGTCACTATACAGCGATGGCCCTGATCACATAAGGCACAAATAAGAGACCCTATGTATATTATTATAAATGGTAAAATAATGTATAAATAGTTCATAAATGCACTTTCACAACAAACATTAATTAAAATAGAATTTGTGAGATTTCATAAGTACCCTCGTGCTGGAATGTTCATGTGACTTGCAGACTTAACGACCTCCTCAAACTTCTCCATACTTTCTTCAATAGAACAGTTAATATTCTTCTTGCTAAAGGATTCAGATGCAGCACCAAAAACTGCTATCTCAGTGGCTCCAGCAGCAACCTGAAAAATATAATTTAAAGGTAAAGGTTAATAATTTCAAAAATGTAAATGATAGCAGAAGTAATATTAACTACTCTATAAAGGCATACTTGTAATTCTTTAACATCTGCCTTAGAATTTAAAATTAGATTCCTCTCATCTTGCCACATACACTCTTTTTAAATGCTAAAATGTTTTATAACAATAGAATAAGTCCACAGACTGCAACACTAATAAATCTATGAGGCACAGAAAACAGTGATGATGTTTTAATTTAATTTTGCCTTTCCTAAATTATGTTATTCTCAGAAACATTTTAACCCTAATTATGGAAAATACTAGCACTCCAGTAAAACCTCTTAATATCTATGAAAACATTATTTTTAGACCAATTATTAACATAGAGGATAGTAAATGCTTTGGTTTTCTCCTTTTCCTACAATCCAACGGAAAAATGTTTTTCCAATTCATTATTTAGATTTTGCCCCCAATTATCTTCCTATCTCTTAAGCCAGCTTCCACTGTTCCATACCTTGACTGCTACAACCATACTCTCGTGTGTCTAATGCCTTAATCCACTTGCCAGTCTTTAAATGCAAAATGTTGATCTAATCCATTTCCCTTCTGCCCCCTTTGCCATCTCCATTCCTTCCCCCAGGCCTCTCCAGTGACTTGTTTGCAAAGGTCAAGCCTCCTAGTTTTCCAGCTGGATTTTTAAGACTTTCTATTAACGTATCTCTAGCACTGTGCCTAGACTCCTTTCTCTTTCTGATACCTATTAATACATTAAGAAATATTTTAAAAGTCTGTCACCTTTCCTCCAATATTTAAAAAAATATTGGCTTCTACTCCATCCAAAATAAATTTTTAACCTCTAGAATTAAAATTCTATATTGAACACCTACTATATGATAGTATTTTTGTTAGTAATTTGCATAGTCTACTTCTAATCCACAAACGATCTTGTAAACTAAGTATTATTATGCCCATTTTACAGATGAGAAAACTGTGGCTCAAACAAACTAAATCGCTAGCACGAGGTCACAAAGCTGGAGCCGTGTTTTGAGCACAGGCTTGCCTGACTCCCAAGCCAAGATCTGTTCCACCCCATTACTTGCCCTTCTAAGCCATCATGAGGGTATCCTCTCAGTACCTTTTTCAAGGTGGATACATTCCCGACTCTGTTAGGACTGGACAACAGAAATATTTACAATTTCTTAAAATGTTTCCTTCTCTCTTAACAATGTGATAAAAAATTACATCAAATCAAACAAAAAAAAAAGTGGTTTCAACAAGATACACTAACGGTGATATATCAACTAGCACTTACAACCTCAATTTTATGCAACACAGCCCAAATACAAAAGTGAAAAAATATCCATTAATACCAGAAATAGCTGCTGCAAAACTTTTAGAGTAAAGCCATGTAAGCATAACACCTCAAGCTTTTACTTAAAATTGCGCTGATCCTGCTTGTATATGATTATTAAAGCTTTTGGCACATACATTCCTAAGTCACACAGGACTGGAAGAAACAAGCCAGAAGAGGAATAGGGAAGGTTATTAGAGGCAGTTCCGATGACATGATTAGCTTCACCTACAGGGAGGAAACAACAACAACAGAAAGCTGACCCAAAAAAGTTGACAAAAATAATTACCCACCACAATAATATTAGTAATTATAATATTGTATTGAGAAATGTTTAAGTTATATTCCATATTCCTTATTGAAGAGGGAAACACAAAATATACTTTCAAAGAATTTCATCAAAATGGACAATTGTATTTTTGTGTTTTGATTCTTGAATGGTTACACTGGAAGAGCCATTTATGCAGAGCACTTGAGTCCCAAACAATGCCGTGAGGTTACTGATCTCCGTGTATTCATGCGAGTATACTACCATAGTATTTATGAGGATAACAAGCGAGTTATATATGACACCATTTTAACTCTGTAAAGATCTTTAAAACAATAAGAAGCATATCGATTTTAGAAAAATTAGTAGCACACTTACAGCACGGTGAAAACCCTGAAGATTAGGAGTTAGGACAGGGTATCGAACTCCTGGATGTTGCTGAATGCCTTTCATCACTTCAGTGTGATCAGCCATCTTAAACACATAATAGTTATACATAAAAATGTAACTTTGAATATTCCACCAAGCATGTTTTTAGTTTTTCAGGAAGTTATAATTATACATGCAATTACATTCTATAAATTAATGTTTAAGATAACAAAACTATGCCATTGTAGCTAAAGATAAGCAGTTCTCACTGTTTAAATACATAATAACTAGATATGGGTTTAACTTACTCACATAACAGGATCTGGTTAAACGAATGATTACAAATAGTCAGGAATTCTGAACTCTACTATGTTCACCTGACTGATCTTTATTCTCTCCCTTGCATTTCATGGCCAAGCCTCAAATACCCCTGAGATTGAGGAGAGACTGAAAGGCAATATGCTATGCATTTACCGTCCACCTGAAAATTTTACGTCAAAATAATTTTCAGCCTATGAAATTTTACAATGTTTAATACAATGTAAATTGCACGACTCTGTTAGAATAATTTAACAAGGATGAGATCCTAGTATATTATTTGGTTAGCATAGATGTTTTAGTTACTAACAGTCATAATGCTTTATGCAGTACTATCACCAGATTACTATTTGTTCTCACAACGCGAACAAATGAACACAATGCAGTACACCACAAAAAAAATCTAACCTATTCTGCCAAGACTTTATTTTTCTATATTTTCTATGAATCTACAAAAAAATCAACTTTGAATTAAAATATCAAATTTACTAGTTTGCCACAAAGTCTATAATTTAGCCTCCTAGAGCAGTAACTGATGATCAAATCCCACAATCATCACATTGAGAAATTATCATTGACATAACCATGAGCTTTGCATATTTAGGAATAATAAATTATGGCATGAACAATAAACATAAGGAATAATATGCAAACAATGAAAAGTACACAAAAGGAGCATGGAGAAAGCTGTAAAAACATACACCAAACCAAAATTTGTATCTTCAATATGGGAATGAATGAGGGAAGACTTGTTTTTTCCTCCATACATCTTGGCTTGTTACAATAAGCGTGTATTGTTTTTAATTTAAAAATAAAAGTAAGTTAAAGTATAAATTCTTTTCTTAATATAACCACACTTTTGAAAAATATGAAATATGCATATTTGGATAAAGTATGGCAGTGCATCATAAAACAGCATATAAGGGCGCAAAACAAATTTTAATTTTCAAGAAATATAGGTCATATTCACCTATAAGCAATTATTTCATTCTATACGTAATTTAACAAAAATCTTGAATCATTATGAAGAAATTTATTTAATTAAACAATGATTTCACAGAAGTTTCAACCCGTAGAACTAGAAAATAAACAGAGATGATAGTAACCAACTTCCTAGGTCATGAATCCTAAACTTTGATAATCATCGAAGATAGCTTAATGAAACTATGATAAATGCATTAATGAGAATCCAATAAATCAGTACTTTTTTGTTTTTAAAAATAACCACACTATAATAGGGTCATTTAAGAAGTAATAGTATTCTGTCTAAATTTGGTCAATAAAGACAGTTATGTAAAGAGCTTCAGAAAACCTTGATAGGATATAATTTTATTACAATGAATAAAATAGAGCACGTTTCAATTAAAGGTATAAAATCCTTGCCTAAATTTTTTTTTTTTTTTACTCTAAGGGAGTTTATGTTATATTTCAATCTTGATATTATTTTCTGTAAACGTCTAAAGCTTAACTATTATTCAAACGATAATGGAACTATTCCTTTACAGTACGACTTGACGTTTTAACAAAACTTTTCTACATCTGGTTTGATTTAACATATTTTTACAATTTTGCTGTGACTTTTCATTTAAGATCATAAAAATCCCCATGATTTGGTTGGTAACATGCTTTGCTATCATCTGGCCATAGTCTGGGAATGGCAATACCTGTGTCTATCTAGCCAGGCTACACCACAGTTAATCAATTTCTTAGGCATCCGCATTTTGATATGGATTCAAATAATCACAATATTTGTGCAACACTTGGCAAGAATTTTAAAGATATGCAAAGGGTCACAAGGATTAGAATGTAATAGCACACAGTTTAGAGATTTTATTTGCTACTAACTCTATCATGGGGTAAATAAATTTGGACACTCCACATTATACATAGTCAGACATCTTACTAATACTTTGTCACTACCTGAACACTATAATCTCTCCTAAATATTTAGGCAGTCAATGTGCTCTCCAGACAACAGCAATGGCTAAATTATAGTTTGAGCATTGTTCAGTGTCCTCATCTCACCCAAATTTCCTGAGATTACTGGAATTTCAAGATAATGCCTATGAATATATAATCATAAACAATGACAAGGGCTTTCTCATAAACTTAAGAGAGGGAAAATATTGGAAGTTTCAATTATATTTTGTAAATAGACTATGAAATTTACCATTGAGGGGGATACACAGGTAAATTGTAAAATATCATGAGACCTTAAAAAATTTATTTTTAAAATTCATTTCAATATTTGAATATTGACTCATTTCCATATTTCATACACTTACTATATTTCTAACATTATGGCATAGACTAACGAGGCAGATGCAATCCACACACATATAATAAACAGGCTAGTGGGGGAAAGGTGTGTGCGTGTGTGTCTGTGTGTGTGTACTTAAAAAAACACAAAATAATACAAATGCCATATGATCCGAAGTTCAATGGAGCACAGACAAGGAAGTATTTTTCTTTGCAACTTAAACTAGAATAATGACAAACACTTAAGTTAAAGCTTGTCTAGGCCAAATGTAAATAACTCAGGGGCCTGTTTTTTAAGGGAGCAAAATATTCATATAGTTTAATGAAGCAAAATGATTTGTAGAGCTTGAAACTATTCAAAATATTCATAGAGCAAAACTATTCATATATATACAATTGCTGTGCTCTTCAAGAATATTGGTGTAAATATTCTCATATATTTAAAATATAAAGCATAAAATATAGTACTCATTTGTACCTCCTATGAAAATTGTCACTATAGAGTTAAGCCAAGAGTCCATATTCACTATATCCTACAATATCTGGCACCAGAAGTATGTAAATATTTGAGGAGAAACAGTTTCGGAATGTATAGAGTCAGAAGCTAGTCTATAGAAAATTCTTCCAAACATTATATATGTAAAATTGTTAAGTGAATGAATCAGTTTTAATCAATGTCAAATTAAATGGAAGTCCTTTCTTATCAGAAATATATTCAATACACAATATATACAACTATAAATGCACCATATTTTTATATTTATTTTTTATGAAAATCACAGATAATAGAATATATATCAAAATTCTTCATTGTGAAGGGCACAAAACTATAGTAATTCTTCTAAAACAATATATCTACGTATAAGGTTACACATCACAGAATATTAGATTACATCCTAGCATGACACTACCAATAACGGATTATTAAACTAAAATACACTTCCCTAATCTATCAATAATAAAACAAAATTTGATCAACGGCTCAAGAGAAAAGACTGAATCGTCTTTCTAGCCTCTTCGTAGAAAATATTATAAGGTGCTGTCACGAGAAAGAGGTAAAGAAAGAACATGCAGTCAACACATACTAAAAAAATGAAGAAACAGATCATCAGAACAGGAGCATAACTAGCAAGGAGATGAAATCCGTAATCATAAAGCTCCAAACAAAAAGCAGCCCAGGACCAGAAGACTTCACTGGTGAATTTTACCAAACATTTAAAGAAATCTTAATGTCAACCCTTCAAATTCTTCCAAAAAATTGAAGAGGAGGGAATACTTCCAAAGTCATTTTATAAGACCAGCATTAGGATCTGGTCTTATAAGACCCTGATACCAAAACCAGACAAGACGCTACAAGAAAATAAAAGTATAGGTCAACATGCCTGAGGAACATAGATGCAGCAATTCTCAACCAGATATTAGCAGACCAAATTCAACAGCACATTTAAAGGATTATACACCACGACCAAGAGGGATTTATCACTAGGATGCAAGCAAGACTAAACACACATAAATAAACTAACGTGATACACCACAAGACAGAATGGAGGATAAAAACCACATGATTGTCTCAACACATGTCAAAATTTGACAAAAAAATGCTCTGTCAGAAAGCATTTGACAAAATTCAATACCCTTTCATGATAAAAACTCTCAAACAAATAAAATACTCTAGGAATACAATGAAATTACTTCAACAAAAGAAAGGTGATATATGAAAAGCCTCCAGCTAACACCATATTCAACAGTGAAAAACTTTTCCTCTAAGATCAGGAATAAGACAAGGATGCCCACTCTTGCCACTTCTCTTCAACATAGTATTGGAAGTCCTAGCCAGAGCAATTAGGCAAGAAAAAGAAGTAAAGGCATCCAAACTGGCAAGAAAGATGTAAAATTATCTCTGTTCACAGATGACATAATATTATATATAGAAAACCCTAAAGACTCCACACACACACAAAAAAACCCTCTTAGAACTAAGAAATGAATTCAGTAAAGTTGCAGGATACAAAATCAACATACAAAAATCAGTAGCATTTCTACACACTAACAACAAACTATTCGGAAATGAAATGAAGAAAACAATTTCATTTACAATAGCATCAAAAAGAATAAAATACTTAGAAACAAACTTAACCAAGGAAGTGAAAGACTTACACACTGAAAACCATAAAACACTGATGAAAAAAATTAAAGACACAAATGAACAGTAAGACATCCCACGTTCGTGGATTGGAAGAGGTAATATCGTGAAAATGTCCGTATTACCCAAAGTGATCTACAGACTCCATGCAATTCCTATCAAAACCCCAATGGCTTTTTTTTTTACAGAAATAGAAAAAAACAATCTTAAAACTTATATGGAACCACAAAGGAGCCCAAATAGACAAATCAATCTTGAGAAAGAGGAATAAAGCTGGAGATATCACACTTCTGATTTCAAAATATATTACAAAGCTACAGTAATTAAAACAGTATGGTACTGGGATAAAGACAGATTTACAGACCAATGGAACAGAATAGAGAGC